TGCAGAGAGCTTTCTGGAATACAAATATTATTACGATATTCTCCTGCTCAAAATCAGCAACTCTGTATAGTGTCTGGATAAAATTCAAATTTCTTATCTTGGCACGCAAAATCCTTCATGTTTCTGTTTAAGTCAGTTGAATAAATAGTTGAGTGCCTACCGTAAGCAAGGCAAAGCACGAAGTGCTCTGAAATGAATAATCCACCAGACCTGGCTACTACTCCAACCTCAAACTTGTCCTTCAGCCACTCACCATAGGCAGCTCTCATAATGCAAACCTACACGCTAGTCCCTTTGCCTAGAATGTACCTGGCAAAAGCCCACACTCATCTGAAGAGTAAGTGCCTGAGGGAGGCCTTCTCTAACCAACTCCAAGCAGAAATGCTCCCTCTTTGAAGTTCCCACAGGACTTGTTTCGATTGCTTTCCGGAAGCTGGTACAGCAGAGGTACAGATCAGCTTCCAAACAAGACTAAGAGCTACTTCAAGGCAAGAGGTGACACCTGCCATCCATGCCTGGCATGCGGAAGACCCTCTATAATTTGCTGAATGAAGAAATAATGACAAGTTTATAACCTGGTGAGAAAAGGAGAGGCACAAGATACAGAATTAGGGATGCTAACACACACGTGGGCCAAATCAGAAGTGGGGTTATTCTGCTTTCGTTCCGATTTGGCTTACATTTTACCCCTAGGGGAAAACTCACATGTGGGACTTGGACAAGCTAAAAAGGCAAAACTTTTGTTATTCATGGCTGAAGTAAGCTTTGACAGGCCAGAAAGGATACTAGATCAAAGTCCATTTTCTAAAAGGGTGTGGAGGTGGGAATCAAATCTATCCAGGTAAATAAAATTGATCCACTGAGATTAACTTCATCAGGGCTGTGCCATACAGTAAAGGGAAGAAGAAAAATCAAAATCTGTCCTGGGACGAAGGCCAATTTACAAATCAGTACCACTGCCGCTAGAAGGTGAAATTTTTAAAGCGAAGGCAATTCCAATAAACCGAAGCTCACAACTGTTTCCTCCTCAACCGCCACTGTGTTTCACTCAACTTTGTTTCTGGTTTCTGTGATTTACAAAGAAACATCTATACAGTTAAGCCCATGGATGAGTGTGCTGCAGCTCCTGGCAGATATGAACGTTTTGATTCATAACCTTAAAGGGACACAGAAACCTCAGAAGAAACACTACTCAGTCAAAAGCCCGTCGTCTAAAACACGGCATGAAGGTTTGAAACGCGAGTGCTGACGTTCCTGAGCGGTGCTTTGTGTGCCACTGCTTCCCAATCAAGACCCCAGTTTTGAAATTACCCCCTCGAGGATGTCCAACCTCCCTCCCACTCTCTGCAGCCTAAAGGGAGCACTGAGAATTCACAGGCAACAGGCTGGGACGGAGGGTCTGATCGCGCCCCCTCCCTTCCAGGGCAGCTAGTGGAACTCTCGCTCACGACAACGTACATACAGCGAGCAAAAATCTCAGCCCCACCTCTCCCC